CGGGCTCTGTGCTGACAGCTCGGAGCCTGGAGCCTGCTTCAGATTCCGTGCTCTCCTTCTCTCTGACCCTCCCCTGCTCTCACTCTGTCTCTTTTTCCTCTCAAAAATGAGTAAGTGTTAAAGAAGAATAAAATATTTGATTAGGAGTGTCCTGCAGAGATATTTTGTGTATCTCTAGTGCTACATGCCACACACGAGGCGTGGAAATGAGAGTTATTAATAGGTTTAAATCTAATCAGACTAGAAATCCCCGAGACTATAGAACAAATTCAGAAATCACCCTTCAGTCTTAGTACCAGATTCCATATCTGTCAGGTTCTCCAGAGAGACAGAACCTTTAGGGAACACACATACACACATATGTACATGTATGCATGCACACACACATGCACACACACACACACATTCACACACACAAAGAGAGGGGCAGAGAAGGAGACAGAGAGGAAGGGCAGGGCAGAGGTGGGCGTGGGTCAGGACAGGGAGGCACCACAACTGTTTCCACCTGGGACCATGGTGGGACAAGAGACCCAGCACCATGATGGGTCACTTCCAGCCCAAACAAGGACTCACAGTGCACCCGGCCTGCCCGCAGGAAAGACCTGTGAGGGGACAATGAATCACAGAGCACAATAATAATAACGCAAGCAGACTCAGGCCTGAAGGTGCCGACTCTGACAGTGGGGCGGGGCGGGGGGGGGGGCCCGGCAGCGGCGCTTCAGCCCCTGCGATGGGCTGCCGGAGAGACAGTGGGACACAGGGAGATGTGCAGGATAGACATGGGGGCAGCCCTTCAGGGGCCCCGCACAGAAGAAGCACAGTGGTCGGGAGTGGAGAGGTCTGTTTCTGTGACTCAGTCCTTCTCTGGCTCATCCACTGAGTCTTCAGGAAGAGGAACACAACATGTAAAACAGACGATGGCTTAGATATTTCCAATTATTCCACTGTTACCCTCATTTCCTAGCAGGAATCAAAAGCAAACAATAGGAGCCTAAGAAAGAACATCTTAGATCTCACTTCCCAATTTCCTGTTGAAATACGGATCTAGACACAGAAAAGGCAAAAACTGGCAATAAAATGGCAACTCAAAGGAGAAGACCATATGGATGGAGAAGAACCCACTTGCACTATGTCTGTTTTACTGCAAATGGGACAAGGTTCAAAAACGGCAGGAAAATCTGGACTTTCCACAGACAGTGCATGTTCCAGGATGGAGCGGGTGGCTGTGGGTGGAAAACTCAGGCACCCTCATGAGGGCTAGAGCCAATGGACTGTCTGCACCGGCCCCCTGTATCCCTTCCTCCTCATGAGCCCCTGATCCCTTCCTCCGCACCAGCTCCCACATCCCTTCCTTGGCAGGAACCCCCACATCCCTTCCTCCGGAGGAGCCCCCTCATCCCTTCCTCTGGTCCAGCCCCCGCATCCCTTCCTGATCCCTTCCTCTACATGAGCTCCTAATCCCTTCCCCCACACGAGCCCCCTCATCTGTTCCCCCACAGGAGCCCTTGCATCCCTTCCCCTGCACCCATTCCCCCACAAGAGCCCCCTCATCCGTTCCCTTGCACAAGCCCCCGCATCCCTTCCCCTGCACCCATTCCCCCACAAGAGGTCCCTCATCCGTTCCCCCACAGGAGCCCCCGCATCCCTTCCCCCACACCCGTTCCCCGACACGAGCCCCCCACCCCACCCCCGCATCTCTTCCTCCTCACGAGCCCCAGTAACCCTGCCCCCAGCATGTACCTGGCCAGGGCCTGGGGTCTCAGGGGTCCAGGTAGGAACAGTGTGACAGAGGCATGTCGGGGGAACTTGGAATATCTGAGGCCAGACCCACGTTCAGAGTGCACACACTTCCTGAGGGCCCATGTGACCCTGACTCGCAGTTGTGGGCCATGGAGCCCAGGTAATTGCTCCAACACTATTCAAGGTATGCACATCCTGCCGTGGACTCTGAGTAAAGCACACTGCCCTCTAGAGCAACAACCCACACTGAATGCAGGTGCAGCACCAACCAGAGCAGTCTACCCACTGCCACTGGGGGGAGGGCAGGGGGGAGGATGCCACCTGTGCTGCTCCTGGGCACCTGCAAACAACTGCAAAGTTAGAAAGACCACATCCCAAAGCTATTTTTCTGAAGATAATGATGGAAATGTAAAACAGAATTGTAAATAATTGTAGATTGGTGCACTAAAAAAAAGATGCTCAAGGATATGTCTTTTCGAAAGATTGTCAGAGGATGACCTGATTCATGTGGTTTTATCCCCACACCAAGCCATTCACTCAGCCTGGCCCTGTGCACACGGAGTCAGTGTCAGACCCCACAGGCTCAGCCCCACAAGGCCACGCCCACTTCAGATGCCAACCCCAAGGCCAGAGATCACCTGTGCTCAGACCCTCCACCCTCAGGTGACAGATCAGAGGTTGCCACAGGCCCTCCTCGGGTTTGATGAATGTGCTGGAGCGGCTCACAGAACTCAGGGAAATGTTTCACTTGCTAGATTGGTGGTTTATTACAAAAGGATATGACTCAGGGACAGCCCGAATGGAAGAAACGCCCAGGGTGAGGTGCTGGGGAAGGGGCGGGAAGCTTCCATGCCTCTCCGGGATGTCATTCTCCCCACATCTCCATGTGCTCGCCAGCCTGGAATTGCCCCACCCACCCCAAGACCTTCTGGGTTTTCATGGGGGCTTCGTTACATAGACCTAATTGATTAACCCACTGCCCTTTGGTGATTGATTCCCTCTCCCCTCCCCAGAGGTCAGGGGGTGGGACTGAAGCCTCCAACCCTCTGGTCCCACAGCTGGGTCCCACATCCTTAGGGGCTTCCCACAGTCACCGCAACAACATGGACTCAGGTCTGTTATGAACACTTTGACACCTTCATTGCCATCCTCAGTTGGGAAACCCGAGGGCGTTAGGAGCTCTGTGCCAGGAACAGTAACAAGGGCAGAGTCCATATTTCTTATGAATCACACTATCAGAGACGGCAAATCCAATACATATATTTTCCCTGAGGACAAGGAGAAGACACAGCAGCTACAACGTTTCAGACCCTGGAAACCAGACAGACTTCGTGAATCTAGGAAATAAGCAAAAATGCAGTGGTAGCGAAGTTTGGACACGAGCCTGGCTGTGGTAAAGAACCTACATGTGGAGACAGGGGACACTAGGGACCTCGACAACAGGTGTGAACCCGCCGCCCTGTAGCTGGGCCCCACCACACCCCACAAGCTGAAGGTCCAAGCCGTGTGTCTGGAAGGAGCCGGCAACAGGGAGCCTGCTGCTCAGCTCAAGGGCGGGTGATGAACTGGGAGCAGGGTAGGGGAGCAAACGCCTCCCCTGAACCGGGACACACTCCCAGGTCCTTCCCTACACATGATCTCCAGAAAACCCCAAGACACAGAGGTCAGTGTGCCCGTGAAGCAACAGGCTCCTATTCAGGAGCGTTTGGAGATTTAAAAAAATACTCTGAGAAATTAAAAACATCACAGAGATGGAAGGGTAGGAGGAAGACCCACTTTAAGAAACAAAAAGTGGAACAAAAAGACAAGCAGACAGACACAGAATGAGATCAGAGGCTGGACGACCAGATGGGGGAATCTGAAAGGAACACACTTTAGAACTGAGGGGGAACCGGACCTCATGGACCAAGCAGAGAGCTCCCTGGGACCCTCCCCACAACAGCCCTGAGGGATGTGCAGCAAGGACGGGGCCAGGAACATCCCGTGGCTGCTCTGCCCTCCCCAGGGGCCCTGTGCGGTCCCCAGGCTCAGGTGCTCCCTGTACTTTGCCCTCCACTACTGATACAGGGTATTCTGCTGTACACTTCTACTTGCAACTTGGTTGGTTTTTTTAGGTTTATTTATTTTAAGAAATAGAGAGAGAGCACGAGATGGGGAGGGGCGGAGAGAGAGAATCCCAAGCAAGCCCTGCACTGTCAGCACAGAGCCCAGTGTGGGGCTAGAACTCACAAACTGTGAGATCATGACCTGAGCCAAAACCAAGAGCCAGTCGCTTCACCAACTGAGCCCCAGGCACCCCCACAAGCGCGCCTCTGAAGGTGCGATCTAGGGCCCTGTTCCCTGCAGCTCCAGCACAGGCCCCACACCATGCAGGCACTCAGAAGAGTCTCTCAGGGCAGCAACGGGCCAAAGAGTGGGGTCACTCGGGTCAAGGGGCCCCACCAGCGGCAGTCACACCTGGAGTCAGGGTGCATCACCAGGAGGCCACCTGGCCACGAGCTCCCTGACAGACAGCCATCTGGGACGTGGGAGGACACTGAAACCCCCTTCACCCTGCACGTGCCTCAGAGCATGGGGCAGAGTGTGGTCCCTGAGGCCCCTAGAGCCAGTGTCTGCCCAGCAGCACTTGGTAGTGTCCTGCTCTGCACTCGCGCACATGTGTGGGGCACCCAGGGGCCCCAGGGTGCAGGACAGCACACGGTGACCGCAGGAGCAGGTGGGCAGGGGGACGGGCAGGAGAGTTGGGCAGAAACCCCACACAGCACTACCCCTCCCACCAAGCCTGCCTGCTTTACAGAAACTATTTTTCATTCACAGAGCTGTTTACATTACCAGGTCGCGAGTTTATTATTGCACTCTTCGAACAAGCAAGTTATTTTTTGACTCTTAGTTCATAAAAAACAGGTTAATATTGGTATATATGACCCACATGGGGTCCTCGATGTGAAACAGGGTGGGGGGAAGGTTCCGTGACAGAGGATTGGTGCAGCTGGAGCGCCTCAGTGCAGCCCCAGGCTTGCTGGCTGTGCGGCTATGCACTACATATGTGCGGCGGGCCACGTGTGATCTCAAGTAGCCCCCCGGCCACAGGGCCTCTTACCTCACAGGTGCCTGACTGAGGCCATCTTTCTGGGACACTGGAAATGCAGAGCCCTCCCCCAACCAAGGTGCCCCACAGCTCGCCCGGTGGGTGCCTCACGTGCACGACCCAGGGGCCGGCGGGGAAGACACCTGGGGCAGGGCTGCACAGCTCCGTGTACCTGTCAGCCACATCCAGGTCGGATTCCATCTTGTCCAGGCCCCTGCTGATGCTGTCCAGCTGCTCACCCTGATGGTGGAGGATGCGGGCCGTGTCCTCCAGGCGCTTCTGGGAGCAGACCATGAGGCCCGTCAGCTCCTTCCCCTTGGTGGCAGGGAGTGGCGCTTCTGGCTGGGACAGCAGCAGCTCTCTCCAGAAATGCTCGATGACGCTAAACGCGGCATTGCGACTGGGCAGCAGGGAGCTGAACCAGTGCTTGTGGCTGTCCTTCTCCAGGACAGTGATGGAGCTGAAGACGAAGTGAGAAGCCTCCTTCTTGATCGCAGTGATGCCAGACAGTGGGAAGCTCACCAGCGTCTCCTGGGCCTCATCAGCCATAAACTTCAGGGAGCGGGAGGTTAAGGAAAGCTTTCCAGGAACCCATCGCTTGTCCAGCTCTAAGTAGTAGGAACACGGCCAGGTGTGCACACAAACCTCTCTGCTCATCTGGCTGCCAGTGGGTCTGCTCCTCCGCCTTGGCTACCCTGTCTGTGCAGGAGAGTGACAAATCAGCGCTGGGGAAGGCCAGAGCTCATCAGCACACCTGGGCCAGAGACACCACGGCAGGGGCAGGGGGCGGGGGTGGCCAGGCTCTGAACACAGCTGCCTCCCTCCACCCAGGGTGGGCAGAATGCAGGCCTGCCCCACCCGAAGCAGGGTCCATGGCTGGACCTGACAGAAGGGCAGAAACCCCAGAAGTGGCCACCCCAGGAGCCCTCACGCGGACATTGCTTCAGCTGTGGCGACCTCCCCACCACGGCACTGCCCACAGCCCTGACCACAGCTCTGACCATGGCTCTGACCACAGCACTGCCCACAGCTCTGACCACAGCACTGCCCACTGCCCTACTCACAGCACTGACCACATCTCTAACCATAGTTCTGACCACAGCACTGCCCACAGCTCTGACCACAGCTCCAAGGAGCCTGTCAATGGCTGATAGGCTGACATGATGACAGGCTCAGTATACCCACTGCAGAAGGCAAACATCACAAGGAAGGTGCCTTGGGCACAATGTGGGCACACCCCAGGGCCCTGGTAAATGCGTGTTGAGCGAACCACAAATCACCTCATGTGGCAATATTGACTGTGTCCACCATGGACGACTTTCTTCCTTCCAGGTCCTGACCCGGGCCTCTGATCTGTGCTAAGCTCCTGGAGTCCTTGTTGGGACTGGAACCTGCAGGGACCCACACTGACCTGGGAAAGAAGCAGAATGGGGGATGCTCATGGGGAGAGATGAGTGGGCACATGGGTGCAGCACACGATGCCCAGCACTTTGTGAGATGCATATTATGCGTGGATGACTGAGCGCTTGCATCAGACCTGTGCCCTGGACTGACACTCAGTATCAAATAAACACCCTATTTTTAGTTAGTTTCCAAAGTAACAGGACCAGGGACATTTCACACAAGTTCCAAGGACTCCTGGGCACAAGCAGGTCTGGAGTCAGAACAGTGGGAGCAGTGTCTCCAGGCGTCGGCAGCCACCTTTTCCATTACCTTCACCTCCTGCTCCTCAGGCTCACGCTTTCACCCACGAGGCTCACATGTGCTGTTTGGGGCTGTTCCTCTGCAACAACATGGTCCATTCACACGGCGTGCACCAACCCGCTAACGCCACAGACGGAAAATGCAGGTTTCTCCTCATTCCCACGGCATTTCCCACCAAGGGCTAACTTTCAAACTCCACCTGCCACCCTCCTCTCTGGCTGTGCATGGTGCATCACTGGGCTACGTCCAGGCTGGGAGCAGTGCCCTGTCTGGGGCCCAAGAATATGTACTTCCCAGTTCCTCAGTGATGCCAGGCCTGCCATCTGGGGGCCTTTGAGGGGCACAGCCCATCTTCCAGCCCCAGCCCTGCTCTCACTCCTGCTGCCTCAGCCCCCTCGGTGCAGTGGTGCAACACTGCCCACGCCAGAGGGCCGCTACGTGGGCTGCAGGAAACAGTACAAAAATCCTACCCTGACTTACGGCTCAGTCGTGTCATCAGCACAGAGCCCAACACCCAGCTCAAACCTATGAACACTGAGCTGACATCAAACATAAACACTCAACCGACCGACCGAGCCTCCCAGTCGCCCGCGGGTGATTATTTCCCCCCCACATGAACGGTTCCACATGTCCTCACTGACGGCCACATGCTAACCCCAGGGCACAGTGAGGCCGAGTGGGAATGTAGCCCCGCACACACAGGAGCACACGGCCCTTCGTGCTGCTCCACTTGCCACAAACACTGTCCACCAACTGCCCCACCTCGGCGGCGTTCCCAGTTCCCACCATGGACCCTGCTTCTACCCAGAACTCAGACTCTCCCCAGCTCAGTCCCCTCCTGGCCCCGCTCCTCTGCCTTTCCCCACTTCTGGTCCTCCTTGTTCTCCTTCTGGGTAAGCCTTATGCCACTTGGAAAGCGTCCCCATTAAGTCCCCCTCCAAAGCTCAGAGTCCCAACATCCCCAGAACCTCCCTCTTGCAACCTCTAAGGGTAAACAAGGTGGAGTTTTCCTCATTTAATAAAGGAGAGGCATCTGTCCCTCCTCCTTACTCAGAGTGTCTCCTTCAGGCAGGAATGAGACAAACTCAGCGTCCAGATTTTACAAGGCAGTCACCAGCTGCCAACTCGGAGCTGTAAACACACACCTGCAGAACTGAGTCAGGAGTCTCTCACGAGGTACAAAAGACTAAGGAGGTGATCTGCTCTCCCCTCAAGGCGATGAGAGGTCGTAATTGTCCTTTCTCCTGCTTTACCGTGTGTGACATGTATTCTGCCCAACTCTGTACTCTCTTGCAGACTCTCTACGTGTGTGTAATCTGTCAAGTTCACATAGTAATGAACCTATAATCTTCCCTTCCATGTTGACATGGGTAGGTTTGCGTTCACAGAACATTTCTTTCTCCAACATGCTGAGATCCTGATTTGTCACCCCCTCCCACGTCCCCAGAGGCTGCCCAATCTCAGACCTGGTGTGTGCAGCCTCAAATCTCCACTCTTGAACCCCCACAAATCTTCACTCTTGAACCCCCACACCTGCATTTCAGGAACTTTATTCCCTTATCATCCCATCCCCATGGCTCCCCACATTCCCTCCTGGCCCCCACATCCCCTCCCTTTCATTAACCCCTGAGCTCCCAGCATCCTGTCCAGGCCCCTATCATCCCCTGAACCCCCAGCATCCCTTCTGGATACCCAGCATCCCCTCTGGTCTTCCAGCATCCCTTCCAGGTCCCTATCACCCCCCCCCCGGTGCCCCAGTATCCACTCCAGGTACCCAGCATCCCATCCAGGTCCCCAGCATCCCCTCCTGGTCCCCCAGCATCCCTTCCAGGTAGGGACCCAGCATCCCATCCAGGTCCCTATCACCCCCGGGGCTCCCAGTATCTACTCTAGGTACCCAGTATCTCCTCCTGGTCCCGCAGCATCCCTTCCACGTGCCCAGCATCCCATCCAGGTGCCCATCACCCTCCTGGGTTTCCAGCATCCCCTCCAGGTCCTCATCTCCTGGATCCCCAGCATCCCCTCCAGGCACCCAGCATCCCCTCTAGGTCCCTATCATCCTCCAGGCTCCCAGCATCCCTTCTAGGTACCCGGCATCCCCTCCTGCCCCCCCACCAGCATCCCCTCCAGGTCCCTATCACGCCTCCCCCCAGGCTCCCAATATCCACTCCAGGTACCCAGCATCCCCTCCTGGTCCCCTAGCATCCCGTCCAGGTGCCCATCACCTTCCTGGGCTTCCAGCATCCCCTCCAGGTCCTCATCCCCTGGGTCCCCAGCATCCCCTCCAGGTCCCTATTACCCCCCGGGCTCCCAGCATCCCTTCCAGGTACCCAGCATCCCCTCCTGGTACCCTAGCATCCCCTCCAGGTCCCTATCACCACCCCCCAGCATCCCCTACAGGTGCCCAGCGTCCCCTCCTGATCCCCATCACTTCCTGGGCCCCTCTGACCCCCGTGCCCCTTCGTCAGCCTAGTGCATGCCCCACCACCTCCCCCGGTCAGTGGCGCGCTTGGAAGGAGGGGTTCTCACCGTGACAGCAGCGGAAGGCGGGACTGTGCTGCAGGAGGGCCGGGCGGGCTCTGGCACAGGCCTGGCCGCACGCTGGGGGCGCCGCTTAATTATGTTACCCGGCGGCACTCAGACCGCGAGACTTGGGTCTGGCGCTGCTTGACAATTTCAGACGCCGGTGGTACCAGTAGCTTTGGAGGTGCTGAGGGACGCCGCTGCGCCTGCGCAGAATGAGGCCCGCAGCCTGCTACGCGCATGCGCCTAGTGCTCGGTGCTCCTGGTTTGTACTCGGGCAGCAACTTTGCCCACATGCCTTTGATTCCGCTCCGCGGCGCAGGGCCGACCGCGGGCTCTGAGAGCTTGTGCGCCGAGGTTTTCGCTCCCGCTGGCACGGAGGCCGTGAGAACCCTGTGCCCCCGGCTTCTGCTCCGGAAGTAGTTTCAGCAAGCACTTCCCGTTTACCTCCCTGTCTCCGGCATCGGACAACAGGAGGCGGAGGTCTGGCGCACGGCGCTCACAGGGAAGCAGCGGCCCCTGCGCTGTCCGCCCCGCGCAGACGCCCAGCCCGTCCTGGGATGGACAGGGAGACGCGCGCCTTTGCCGAGAGCCACTTCCGAGGCCTCCGGGGGCGGCTCCCGGGAGGCGCCAGCCCGCCCCGCGGCTGCGTGGACTTCATAGAGAAGCCGGACTCGTTCGCCTACGCCGACTTCTTCAAGGGCTACCTGCTGCCCAACAGGCCGTGCGTCTTCTCCAGCTCCTTCACCGCCGGCTGGGGCAGCCGCAGGCACTGGGTGACGCCCAGCGGGAAGCCCAACTTCGAGCACCTGCTTCGGAAGTACGGTGAGGACGGGGCGCCGGCAGCCGACGGTGGTAGCGCGTCCCGAGGGTGGCTTTTGGGGAGCCTCTGAGCAGTCCGTGTCGGACCCTGTTGTTTCAGGAGACGTGGTCGTGCCAGTTGCTAACTGCGGGGTCCAGGAGTACAATTCGAACCCCAAAGAACACATGCCTCTTAGAGACTACATCAGCTACTGGCAAGAGTACATCCAGGGAGGCTACTCCTCTCCGCGGGGCTGCCTCTACCTCAAAGATTGGCACCTGTGCAGGTAAAGGGGTGGCGCATGCGCAGGGCCACTGCTTTACATGGATCTAAGAGAGCCCTGGTTGCCCACAGGGCATCTCGTCTTCTCCTCAGTTAGGCATTTTATTTTGGGGGCTGGGAGTAGGAGGGGGGAGAGAGAGAGAGAGGGAGAGGGGCAGAGAGAGAGAGAGGGGAGGAGGGGCAGAGAGAGAGGATCCCAAGCCGGCGGCACGCTCAGCGCAGAGCGCAACTCCGGGCTGGATCTCACGACCTTGGGATCACCACCTGAGCGGAAATCAAGACTCGGACGCTCAGTAGATTGAGCCAGCCAGGCGCCCCCCAGTCAGGGTGTTTAGGGAGCGCACAGACCTGGCTCTCCTCCGCGGTTGGACGTGTCCTTCTCTCCAATCACAGGGTGGGCGGCTGTGAGGAATGTGGGCTCCCGCGACCACCTCTTCCGCATCACGTTTGCCCAGAACCCTCTTTGAGGACTCCACCCCCTCTCAGTGGCAGGCAGTACCCAGTACCCAGCCTCTGTCCTTCCTCTCAGGTGCCTCTAGGACTGGCCTTCCCTTTCCAGTCCTGCTTTTCCAGGTTAGGCCAGTTCCTGTCCACTTGGGTTGTTTCCAGTCTCCTGACTGCCTGGAGTCACTTTCCAGCAAGTCTCCATCGCTGACCAGCGATCCCAGTCTACAAGGAGGGCTGTCGTGGTCTGTCCCCGCCTGCCACACATTTTTCCCCCTTAGAGCTCTTGACGGTGTGGCTCTGGGAAGCACCTGTTGTGTGTGGGCAGCCTCACCCCATCCACTGCGTTTGCACTCTCCAAGGTGGTCCCTGGGTTTTGTGCCCCCTTCCCCTGCGCAGGGGCACGTTTTTCACACGCATCGACCATCATGCTCAGACCCCAGCCAGCAGCACAGGGCAGAACGGGTGTTAAGTTAGTGTTGGGTAGATGAGTGAACAACTGCATTCTCATTTTGCTGGTGTGGAAAGTCAGGTTTAGAAAGGTAAACCGAGATGAGACTCGCTCCCTGGAGATTCCCGAGGCCAGTCCAAGAGTGCATCCGACAGCAGCGTGTCCCCGGTGCTTCCTGCCTCAGCGCTGCTTGTTTGGCACAGACCAGACACAGGCCCTCAGGGACTCCTGTTCCAGTAGTGCGTATGGACTTGCAGACCTAGAGGCTCCCGCACTGTGGATTTGGGCTTCCAGTAGACAACAAGGGGGTTTTCTGGTGTGTTTTCTAGGTATTAGCAGAATATGCTTGTTCGAGAAGCTTGTTCAGTGATTATTTGGTAGCTGATTTGGTTGAGCGTCAAGTATGTCCCTAGAAACCCTAGAATAAAGAACCGAGTGACGCCTGGGTCAGACAGGCAGAGGTGGCTGTCTGGAAGACGACATTGGAGCAGGGTTTTGAAGGATAAACAGAAGTCTGATGGCAACAAAGGCATGGCTGCAGAGGGAGTGGCTGGTGTATTGGGGAGCTACCAGTGGTTTGTGCTCCTGGGGTCCCCCCCCCATGGCCTGTGACCATGAGGGATATGGGAGGGGCTCCAGAAGCTTGCTTCAGCATGTCGTTGGGGCCACCTGCCCCCTTGGGTCACTTTGCTGTGCTCCTGTGCCTGGGGCCCATCGGCCTGGTTGTGGGATAAGGTTTTTGGATCAGGGGCTGTTGGGCTGTTGGGGAGTAGGAGACAAGGACCTCAGCATACAGGGGCTGTACCACTTGGGCCTGTGGTCTGGCATCCGCTTAGACTGGAGGTCGCTGGTGGGGTGAAAGCACAGAGGAGGCCCCCAGACTCTGGAAAGACAGCGTGATGTAGACAAGGTGTCTGGAGCCCTAGCCCATCCAGAGGCTGAAAGCCTGGAAGTGGTTCTGGAGCAGTCGGTCCCTGCCTGTGTGGTCGATGCAGCCCCAAAGCTGTTTTACCTGGTGTGGCTGTGGTCAGGCCGTGGAGGCTGTGGTCACCTGGCGGCTGGACGGGCCCTGGGCAGTCAGTGGGCGCTGGCTCTGGAAGGCAGGTCAGAGTCATTCATGGCATTCCAGAACACTTAGAACCTGACATCTCGTTAGCCAGGCCTGCCACAGCCCCCTGTCCCCCTCCAGGGACGCGTCAGCAGAGGATGTCTTCACCCTCCCCGTGTATTTCTCGTCCGACTGGCTGAACGAGTACTGGGACGCCCTGGACGTGGACGACTACCGCTTCGTGTACATGGGGCCCACCGGCACCTGGTACCTCCTGCCCGCCTCCCTCCTGCTGCCACCTCGTCCCCGCCTGGTACCGCCTGTCTGCCTCCTCCCTCCTGCTGCCACCTCATCCCCACCAGCTCCCACATGTGGTCCTGAGGCCTGTCCACTTCACGGGAGCCCTCCATTTCCTGGCCAGCTTACCCCTTTCTCCCCCAGAGTTCTGCCCACGGCCTCCTGCTGGGAAGAACCAGATGGCACCCAGCTGAGAGGCACTAAGGGGGTGTTTTGCACAGGTCACCGTTTCACGCTGACATCTTCCGCTCCTTCAGCTGGTCTGTCAACATCTGTGGGAGGAAAAAGTGGTTCTTCTTCCCTCCGGGACAGGAAGAAGCCTTGCGGGATTGCCATGGTGGCCTGCCCTATGACGTGACTTCCCCTGTGCTCCTTGACCGCCGCCTGTACCCCATGCGCGAGCACTGCAGCCCACCGCTGGAGGTCACACAGGAGGCAGGCGAGATGGTGTTCGTGCCCAGCGGCTGGCACCACCAAGTCCACAACCTGGTAGGGTAGGCATGCCTCATGCACATGCCCACAGTGTGGCCCAGGCGGGTCAGGGACACACACCCTGGGGCCCCCTCTGGTCTGGCTCCCGCCCCAGAGAGCCCGTCTCCCCCTTTGACTGCCCCTTGGCCAGCCCAGCAGTCCTCCTCACCCTTGGCACTTTCTCAGATGCCTTTCCACAGGGAGGGGCTAGGCCCTGGCACTCCCCCCAACTCCCCCCCCCCACCTCCCCGTCTAGGAGAGCCTGCGTGTGGGCCAGGCTCCACCAGCCCCCTCTCCCTGCTGGCACCTCAGAGACACGAGAACAACCCTTCTGGGCTGGGGAGGGCTGGAAGGACCTCGGGGCGGGGGGAGGGGTGGTGCCTGCCGTGGGCTCATGGGGATACCTATGCCCTACCCCTCCCAGGAGGACACCATCTCCATCAACCACAACTGGGTCAATGGCTGTAACTTGGCCAACATGTGGCACTTCCTGCAGCAAGAGCTCCATGCCGTACAGCAGGAAGTCAACGAGTGGAGGGACACCATGCCTGACTGGCACCATCATTGCCAGGTAGGCCAGCCTGGACAGGACAGGGGGTGGAGAGTCCTGGGAGGGGCTCTGCAGGGCTGCATTGGGGACAGGGAGGGGCTCTGTATGGCTGCGGTGGGGACTGGGGAGGGGCCCTGCAGGGCTGCAGTGGGGGATGGGGAGGCTCTGCAGGGCCAGGGCTACAGTGTGGGCGAAGTGTGGTGCAGCCCCCAGGGCCACCTGCATTCCTGGAGTGGGCCAGAGCTGTGGTCTTTGGGGTGACGTAGCCTCTAGGTCTGCCTGTGTGAAGGTCAGTCTGGGCATTGAGCAGGTCACTGGGGCTTCCAGGCAGCAGGATTTCCACTGCTGGCTGAGTCCGGGAATCTCTTTCCCAATCCTGAGGACTATACCAGGTCTCTGGGTGCGGCCCACAGACGGCAGATACTTTCCTGGAACTGTGAGCAAGCGGTGGCTCACTGGCTGCTCCTCCCCGGCCAGGTCATCATGAGGGCTTGCTCCGGGATCAATTTCGAGGAATTTTACCGCTTCCTCAAGATCATCGCTGAGAGGAGACTTCTCCTGCTGGCCAAGGGGATGGGCCCTGATGAAGTGGAGGGTGAGGATGGTGAGGGCACCATGCTGGGCCCCCAGCAGGCTGTTTTTGACATTGGCCGGATCGCCGAGGTGCTGGCCTCTGTGGTGGCCCACCCAGACTTCCAGAGAGTGGACACTAGCACGTTCTCGCTGCAGCCAGAGGAGCTTCTGCAGCAGCTGGAGCAGGTCTTGGTCACCACCGCGACCCTTTAATGCACGTTGCACGGATCAGGTACCCCGTGACGTGACAGGACCGTGGGGCACCAGCACAGAGAGCAGGTGGCCTCCTCCAGCATGCCTTCTGGAAATAAAGCTCCATGCTTCTGTGTGGCCTGGGACATGTCCTGTCCCCACTGAGCCCAGGCATGGCTCCTGCTGTTAAGGGCGTGATAGCACCCTGGCTGCCCGCTGGCCTCCTGGGGGCCCTGGTGCCTATGCAGAGGGTTCAGGCTCCTGGTCCTGAGGTTCAGCCAAGGCTGAGTGCTCTGGATCCAGTGAGGCGGTAGGTGGGAAGTGTTGGTCACTGAGATCTGCAGCAACAAGGCCGGGAGTGTGCTGGGGACTCGGGTGGGGGCAGCACATGGCTGGGATTCTCGGTGCCCCTGGCCTTTCAGCAAAGACGGGCCTGTGAGCCAACAGGCCTCCCATGCACAGCAGTGCTAGGCAGCTGGTGTGTCTGGCAGGGCACCCTCTGCAGCAGGACCACTGCATGAATGTGCATCTTCCCTGGGAGTGAGCCCCTCCTTATATGTGGGAACTGGGGCCCAGGGCAGCCCCAGTCCAGGCCTCTGCCTCTGTCTGTTTCCACGGAGCCTGCCTTCCCTCTGCTGGCCTGTACCCCGTCCTTACTTAGGCCCCCAGTGGCACTTGGGTGCCATTCAGGGTCCGCGGGCCTGGTGGTTTTATTTCCCTCCTTCTGGAGACAGCCCTGCCTTTCCCTGTCAGGCTCTAGGCCCTCCCCTGGGGCTGCATGCCCAGCAAGGGCAACGTGTTTTCATCTACTCAGACTCTGCACCTTTCCCAACTATTATCAGATGCCACCCCCTGAATAAATTTGTCCCCAATCCTCAACATCTCTCCTTCCCAATTAGAAGTGTCCCTTCAGTATTTCCTGGCACTCTGCTAACTCCAAGTTGTGTATCTATATTTATTATTGACCTCCTCTGGTAGATATTAAGTTCCTAGGAGTCGGGAGCCTGTGTTAACCATCTCGTATCCCCCACAGTAACTTTGTAGAATCTAGTACCTACCAGACGCTCTAAGGTTGAACGTTGAGTGGAGCTGTTGACCAGCAACACTAGGTGTTTCTACTGGGCATTCTGGCAGCTCTGTCATGCTGCTTAGCAGTGCTCTCTAGTACGTGCACACTCTTCATGCACATACAACAATAGACCATGAACCTAAAGGATGTTTTCTTCTACCTTGCTTGTGTTATGAGTCAAACTTTGATTCTGGAACAATTCTACGTTGCGTGTCCCATCAAAAACTGTCTTTGCCACACCAGCCAGGAGGTATGTAGGCAGAGATAGCACGGGTAAACGTAATACATATGTGAAGTTAGTGGAGATTTTCTGTATTAGCATTTTGCAGGGTCAGGAGTCTAATACTTAGATAACTATGTATAAGTACTTCCCACGGTCTCCAGGGCCCCTGCGACCCTCTTCCATCCTTCACTCACATTTGTCATCCTAAGCCAGCAAACCATCATTGTGTGGTTCAGAACCAAGCACTTCACACGTCTGCCCCACCCAGCTCCCAAACCGTGCACAGCACATCTGCTAGGCAGAAAAAGTTCATTATTGCACCCTGTGGCCTATTGAGCTGCACGCTCGCCTGTGCCATTCAGTTTTCACACCTTGGGCACCTGTGTGCCATTTAACAGGGTAGTAGGATTATCCAGAGAAATGGAACCCACAGGATGTACCTAGAGCAAGACATGGTGAGTGGGATCTGTTGACACTGCCCTTTGGTCCAAAGTCTGGATACTCAGGAGGGTGTGTGTGGCAGCCTGGAAGCAGAATTGGTTCTTTGGGAGACCTCAGTCCTTGCTCATAAGGCCTTCAGCTGATTGGGTGAGGCCCATCCACTTTGTGGAGTGTCGTCTGCTTTGTCGAGTTGTGAGGAGTTAAAACTTAATCATATCCAAGAGATGCCTTAATGGTAACATCCAGCCTGGCGTTGGACCAAATGGGTGGGCACTGTGGCCTGGCCGAGAGGACGTGTAGACCTGACTGCCAATCACTCCCCGGTGCTCGCTTGCTTCTGACCACCCATCCAGACATTGAGCACCTTGCACAGCCGCCACAGGCATTGGCACGGCCTCCGTCTGTATACTCCTTTGCACTGCACCCCCCCCCCCCGCCATGGGGGCCATTGGGCAGTCATGTTTGCACACTGCCCTGAGTGTTTGCCAGCCATGTCATTGTGCACTGACTAAACCACTGTGCACTCACTGGGTTACTGAGTAGCCACCCTTTGACACTTGTTCCATACCGTCAGCTTCCACCATGGGAACGCCCACTTTGCCATTTCATCATTTTTTGCACAGCCATTATTTGCCATTTGGTCACCTTTTACACACTTGTGCACAACTGCAGTGTCTGCGTGTGTGTTTTCTTCCTCCACCTTTCGCCCCCAACACATCCTGCAGTGTTTACCACTGGCTCTTCCTGTGCTCGCTGTGAAGCGTTTGGTTCTAGCACACCCACCTCGTGCTATCAGACAATGTTTTGTTGCATGCTTCCTGTGCAAGAGCCACTGGACCGACCCTCCCAGATCAGGTCATCAACTTATGGTCATTCTGCTCCTTGCAACTCCCTCCACAGCCATGCTGTGCCATCAGATAGTGCTTGCACACTTGCTCCACAAACCCATGACCACTGCACACGTGATCATTCATCTGGCGTCCCTTGCATTGTTAATTCTGTACCATCCAAACCCACAAGTGCCACATATGACTCAGCAGCCTCTTGCTCCATGTTGCTTTTCTATTTTTTTAAGTTTATTTTGAAAGAGTGTGAGCTAGAGAGAGAGAGAATCCCAAGCTGCCTCTGTCAGCACAGAGCCCAACATGGAATTCAATCTAATGAAACTTGAGATCATGACCTGAACCAAAATCAACAATCAGACACTTAATCAACTGAGCCACCCAGGTGCCTCTCTCTGTTGCTCTACCGTACGTCTGTCCACTTGCACACCCGCTTGTGTCCAATGATCTGCACAATCCCTGGACCTGGCAGACGGCCCTGCTGTGTGTGTGGGTGACACTTGAAACCACTGGGGAGGAGGGTATAACTCAGAATTGCCCCTTATTTCACCTAGTTCTTGCCCCTAGGCTGTCGGGATGCTGTTGGAACTCTGTGACAATACACAGGAGGTTATGTAGGGCCTTGGAAGCTCCCTGGTGTGTCTGGTGTAGCCTTTCAGCTCTTGGTCCTGGGGAAGGACCTGGGAGAGCACTCCTGCAAGCCCAGGGCAGTGCATTTCCCACCTGGATAGGAAGCATTCCAGTATTGGTAAGGCGGCAACAGTGGTGCCCATGGATGGTCATTTCTGGTGGCACTCCTTTCGTCAGGCTGCATCTTTCAGCCTCCTCACGGGAAACATTGGCATCCCTGTCACATAAGCAAGACACAGGCCTTGGCCAGAGCAGAGTGACCATAGTGTACCCATCTAGGGCATTTCTGGAGTAAGCTATCGTGCAAGGCATTGTGGGGATGCCTGTGGGACAAGGCCCACCTGTATGTAGCTCTAAACTCTGCATCACAAACTTTCCCCTGGATAAGAAGTCAGCAGGAAAAGGAGTTCTGAGGTCAGAGACCACCTTCCAGGAGGAGTTAAGTCTTGGTAAATAGTTGACCATGAGAGGTCTTTGGGGAGGATTGCAGAGGCTAAGTCCTGCCTGCCCTCAATGCATTTACTAATAACCTTCCTCTGGCCTCATCCTTTCCAGGTTCTGTGCTCTCCCCTGCTTCTGGCTTTTGTTTCGTTTTTTGCATTTTTTCCCCACTATGGGCTGATGGAATTCCAGAGTGTGACCTTGAAAATTTAATTTCTCAATCATGGTCAGAAGAAATCTCAGCAAGAGAAGCAGAGGGTTCCCTCTTCCAACAAAGTGTAGAAATACAGCTACTGTTCTGGGAGAGGCCACAGTCCTGGCAAGGGCTATTTCTAAAGACTCCCAAATTTGAATGGTTGTTGCTGTGCCTGGGAATGTACCTCCGACTGCTAAATGCCAGGAGCGCTGAGGGACTGCCTCGGCTCCTGTCCAGGGTCACAATACTGACATGACTGTGTCCTCTGGGTGTGTCTCACGGTAGCTGCAGAGATGTGGCTGGCCCTTCTCACCTCCCACACCTAAAATAAACTGATAACACTGCAGGATTTCTTACTGAATGAGGAGTGAGTCTGTGTTTCATTTAAACACAGGAAATGAAAGGACAAAACCACAACTCCCAGCCATAGTAGAAAGAGGATTTTAGTATGGTATTCACATGTAACTTTTATGTTAATGACCAATATTGTCCAAATCAGTAAGCTCTTTTTTGTTGTTTCATTGTGGGTTTTTTTTTTTTTACCTGTTGTACAAAAATTCAGTCACCCTCTTACCTCCTTTGAAATGGCCCCCTCCCACTGACCCCATCTCCTGTGGTCTCAAAGCCCTTGAGTGGCACTTAGCTGCCCCTCCTCACCTGCTGAAGAGCACAGTGCGTGAAGGGAGGCTTTCCTCCTGGGGGAGGGTTGGGAGGGGACGGGGCTGGGCAGGGCTCGCACTCTGTTGGCCTTGGTGGTGGAATCTGAGATCCCATCTATCCTGACAAAGGCTGGAGCAGTGGCAAGCAGAGCCAGGCCTCTTGGGAGGGGTCTGGAGCAGATGTAGACAGGAGAGGCCTGCCATCATCAGACCCAGTGGATGAGTGAGTGCTCTGTGGTGCCTGTGGGCACAGGTGGCAGTGACCTGTACTGTGCCCATTGGCAGTGCTCCTTAGCCAGGGTCACCTAGTCCTCAGCTCCCAGAAAGCAGAAGGTACCGAAGGCAGTAGGTGGTCCACAGGAAGCCGGATCCCAGGTCAGCCTGTCAACTGTCAGGCATCACGCCCAGCCATGGGAGAGATTCAGTGATGAGACCGGAGTCTGCTGGCTGCCCTGGTCAGCTACAACCTAGAGAAGGAAGTCAGAAGATGCTCTGCACAAACTAGAAACAAAGCAAACTAAACAAAAAATAAATGTTAGAGCAGAGACGAATGTAATTGAGAGCAGAAGAGCAGTAAAGAAAATCAGCAAAACTAGTTTTTCTGGGGGAAAAAATGTCAAACCTTACCTAGATTGACTAAGAGAAATCTAGGCAGGACTCAAATACCAAAATTAGAAACAGGGTTGCAACAACACTACCAATCCTACAGAAATAAAAGGGTTTATTATAAGAAACTGAGCAATTGAACAGCAAAAAATTGGGTAATCTGGGTGAAAAGTAAAAATTCCTAGAAGCACACAAACTACAAAACATTCTACTGGTGAATCCTACCAAACATTTAAAGAAGAATTAATACCAATTCTTCTCATCCAACAAATCCAAGAGGAGGGAACACTTCTGATTTCTACAAGGCTAACATTACCCTAATATCAAAAAAAGCTAAAGACCTCACAAGAAAACTATAGGCCAATATCCTCTATGATATCGATGCAAAAATCTGCCAGTAAAGCAGAGCAAACAGAATTCAGCAGTCAATTAAAAGATTATACATTATGACCAAGTGGGATTTAGCACAGGGATTGAAAGTTTTATCCATATGTGAAAAGCAATCTATATCATATTAGTAGAATGTAGGAGAAAAAATTTACACAATCCTCTCTACTGCTGCAGAAGTATTTGAGAAAATCCAACATCCTTGCACAATAGGAGGGAGAACTCAGTAAAGGAGATATAATAGGGAATGTCCTCAACATGATAGAGGGCATGTATGAAAAATCCACAAGTACCATCATGCACAGTTGACTGACAGCTTTCTCCCTAAGATCATGAACAAGGCAAATTCAGTCAGGCTGCAAGATACAAGGTCAGTGGAATAAAGTTGAGATTCAAGAATTAAACCCATACATGTGTGGTCATTGAGTTTTTCAACAAAGTCACAAGACCATCCAATGAAGGAAAACAAACTTCAAGCAGTAGTGTTGGGGAAGGTGAATATCCACATGTGAAAGAGTAAAGCCTTGCTTGCCTCACACCATATATAAAGATTAACTGAGAATGGATCAAACACATAATTTAAGAGCTAAAACTCTTAGACAAAAAACACAGGGGCCAACCTTCATGTCATTTGATTTACAATGGTTTCTTACATATGACACCAAAAGTACAGGCAATAAAATATAAAGCAAATTGGACAGCATCAAAACAAATCCTTTGTGTG